ATTGACTTAAGGAATGCTTGTTTCCAAAACTACTTTTTTAGGAATATAGAGTTAGTCAAAAGTAACGCTTTAAGTAGAGCATTGGAACACTTATGATTAAAGATCTACATTCTTGAATTAATTACACAAAGGAAATATCAGCATTCTATAGATTCTAGAAGAAGCTAAGCAACTTCCTCACATAATCCCTTGATAATCCAAAATTCCAAGAGAGGAAAGGAAGGGAAAATATGGCCAAGGTTGAGATGGAACAATATTAGACAAATCTGACCCATAAAGATGAGGGAAGACTTCCAATTAAGGTTTGCTAGTGAAGTTGCCTAAATCTAGGGGTGCTAGTAGTCAGTGGGTACTTGGCTCCAAGTTAGGTATTGTACCTGCCCCTGGTTAGTTGATTCTGGGAACAAAGTGTCCAATCCAGTGAATAACCAATTTAATTTGACCAACAAACTAATACCCTATTAGGAATTAATCTAGTTAGCTTAGTAATATATGATTATACGAATTCTGAAATCTATAGAGGATAAATACCATAGTGAATATGCAAACAACTTAAATATGGTAGAAGAAATTACGATTACAATTTGATACCTAAAACAAAGAATATAGTAAAAATTGGGTCGAACAAACACAATAAGGTAAAGAATCAGCTAAATATGTATTAGTGTTCAACATGCTTTCGTTTACAAAGTTTGGGATATAAATCTTGGCTTATTTTATATGTTTATGGTATATCAAATAAAAGTATATTTTGAATTAGAAGAGGTATATAAAAAAGAATGTCTATTTTCCATATTATTGAAAAGTACAGTATGTTTCTTTTTTCTTTTAATGATCAGCAGAAATATATTTTATTTTGTTATATTTCATTAACAGAAATTAGTACAACTTGGTGATGGGAGTGTCATTCCTAACTTTCATCCCCAAATAGTACAACTTTCAATCCCAAGTTACAGAAGCCCAAAATAGTTGCTGCCTGAAAAGCCCCTTGTTTGGCAAGGGAATCAGCTTAACCCATTTGCACCCTTCTGACCCACGTAAAAAGTACAGTATGTTTCTTGGAAAATGWTGTGTGTATGCACACAAGTTTATTATGATAAACATTAACACTTAAATTGTTTTATCAGAAATAATGACCATTAGCTTTACTAGTAAAGGATTTTGAGAAAGCTCCATTGTCTTAGTGTTTGGAATAAATGGGACAAGGGCAAACCATACTAGGCTGACCATAAATAAGCATGATAGACAGCAAGATCCATCCCCCTCAAGGAATATCAGTTGAATCACCATCCATTGCTAGTTGCTAAGGCATAAACTATTTGCAGTTTGGAGCTCTCCTGAACAAGCAGTCATGATGCCTTTGCTTCTATATTTTAGCAAGATCTTCTACTTCATCACCTACCATACAAGCAGTTTGGTCTCCACCTTTGCAGTGTCATGTCAAACTGAACTTTGATGGCAGCTCTATTGGGAACCCCAGACCTTCTGGAATAGGGGGTGTGTTTAGAGACGTGGAAGGAAAAATCCTAGCTCTGTATTCTGGCCCAATAGGTGTGGGGGACTCACTTAGAGCTGAAGTTTTGGCGCTCCTCCAGGGGCTCAGATGGGCCAAGCAATTGGGTTTCCAACAGTTGGAAGTGGAGGGGGATTCAAAATTAGTAGTAGGATGGCTGCAATCAAACAGTTTGGGAATGTGGTCCCTTAGACAATAGGTAAGGGAATAATTGAGCCTCACAAGGGAGCTGGATGCAAAAGTGTATTGGTCTAGGAGGTCAGCAAATGCTTTAGCTGACTACCTAACAAAATAGGGGGTGAATCGGGAGTTTTTGTTTTGTGCAGTGTTGTAAGATTTTTGTTATTCAGGGGTCACCTTTTACTTTGGAAGGTGACAGTTGTTTCTTATGCTTTTATCTAATGAAAGTTACTGTTTCCTATCAAAAAAAAAAAAAAAGCCTTTGCTTCTATAAAAAGAACCAAAGGGATCAAGGAACATCTATATTTGAGGACAGCCAACTAATCACCCATAGACAACCTATTCTTCCAAACTCATCCCAGCCTGAAGTTAAGGCTATTCTCCATCATTGAAGAAGTGTGAGCAATTCTGCCTTAAGGGAAGTTCCTTCAGTGAGTAGCTTAGTAAGATATCCCAGCACCATCTCTAAAGATTCCACCTATCCCAGAAGGCAAATTGCTACCTGGGCTGCTGCAAAGTTAAAATCTTATCTTGCCCATTTCTGGACCAACCTATTCAACGGTTCTATGCTGTCTCCTCAGTGGAAAACCAGCTATCATTTGCCAATTCCTCAAGATAGAGTTCATGACAATAAGGATTGGAGAAGCACAAACATATGTCATGGGAAACTAGAACTCTAATGCAGAGTTGGGAGCTGAGGTGATTTGGGTGTACAAATCTGCTAACTGTATTGCAGATGGTTTAGCAAGGCAAAGGGCAGCAAGAAAACTGATGTTTTGGGGTTTTGTATCCTAAGGGGGAGTTGTAGCTGAAGGGTTTCACAGGCGTTTAGCTGAGGCTAGCTGCCCATATTATCCACTGTAATCTGCTATTTTTCTGATCAATTAATAAAAGTTGATTGTTACTGAAAAAAAAAAAAGGAATGATAGAGTTCATGATAACGCTCTTGAACTTATTCCCTGTCATCACCCATTTGCCACTCTCACCATGATTAGATCAATGATAGTTTGACTTCTTCTTTGTTCAAATATTCTTGCGTTTATTTCTCATCAAATGCTCCAGAATGCTGTTGCTCTTGTGGAATATCCCATGATTTTTTTTAAATGATGAAAGTAAATAATGGACCTGGCATGGGTATGGCTAACTTGGTGGATAACCCTTACGAAGTATCTGGATCCAGTCCTGATGTGCTTGATGGGGGTGGGGTATGGGCATACCTGTAAAGAAACCACCATGGCCCTTACCATGAATGTCATGGTTCTATTATAATCCATGGCAAACATATTATGATGATAGAAAATAAGCATTGCCTGAGTTGATATTGAGCCTGCAGTCTCTAAACTCCAGTATCATTTCACAAGCAGGTTTTAGTCCTTGTCTCTAATTTCCCCAATATCTAGACCACTTTGTTCTTTGAGATTGCATGTGTAGTTTCAGTTCACCAAGTGGCTTTTCCTTCTTTCATTCAATGGGATTACTGCAAGATCTTTTTTATTAAACCTGTCAATTGTTCATGAGTATTTGATGGGATGGAAAATCATGCATGTGAAGACCTCTTTAATTTCAAACAAATAATTTCTTATCATGGATATGTGAATACCTCCAGTTAGAGCTAATGAGTCACAAGTCCTTTACTTTGTCCCAAATACTGCCAGGGGATCCTTCCTTTTATAAAAAATTTCTTATCGTGCTATAGAAGGCATTAACCTACTAATTATCTTTTCTCATATCAAAATACAAAATAAATTCCTACAAAAATCTTTGGTAAATTACCTAATCTGGAAGAACTTTTCATGGAAAGACAAGAAGATAAGTCCAAATAGTTGAGAGTCAGCAACTTAATTCCAAATCATCTCCAGCTATGTGGGATCTGAATATCTAGTTCATCAAAGTAGGACAATTGAACTTGATGCTGCTTCTTAGGTTTTTTTTTTATATATTTTTCAGTGTGGGTTGGTTCTTTCTGTATTGCAGTTTAGCCTTGCTGATGCTTTCAAAATTGAGAGATACTTGTACCAAAAAGCAACTCCATTCTGTAGTTTACATCATCATCCAACTTGATAGTAACTAGGAAAAGGTTGCAGAATGATTCTTGATTGAAGGTTTTGCAGAATACAAGTAATGGACTTTATAGTCATTACGAGTCTATTAGACCTGTTCATGGGCTGGTTTGACCTGGCCTGCTCTTGGTTGGGCTTGGACAAAATTTTAGGTTTATGGGCTCGGTCTGGGGCCCAAAACACTAGGCCCAACTCTATTGCGGGCCGGGCTTGGGCTTTCTCAAAAAAGCCTGGTCTGGGCCCAAGCTAGGCCTGACTCTTTTATTATATTTTATAGGGTAAAATACAAAAACCTCCCCTGAAATTTCTGACAATCTTAAAAACCTCCCCTATAGTTTCATTTTAACAAATACCTCCCCTGAACTTTTGAGAAACTCAACAAAAACCTCCCTTCACCTTCCCAGACAGAAAATGTTAGACTGATGTAGCAGTTTCTTCCAAATACCCATTCTACCCTTTTATAAATTATTTTACATAAAAATTACTGAATAACCATGTTTTAATTCGACAAAAACATTAGAAGATGATCGTTAAAAGGGGATTTTTGTCAAGTAAAAAAACAGGTTTATTTCAGTAATTTTGTATGTAAAATAATTTATAAAAGGGTAGAATGGGTATTTAGAAGAAATTGGTGCATCAGTCTAATGCTTTCCGTCTAAGAAAGTGACAGAAGGGAGGTTTTTGTCAAATTTCTCAAAAGTTCAGGGGAGGTATTTGTTAAAATTAAACTAAAGGGGAGGTTTTTATGATTGTCAGAAACTTCAGGGGAGGTTTTTGTATTTTACCCTATTTTATATAATAAAAAATATATATTATATATTTTCATTTGTTCCTCTTCTCTTTTCTCAAGCCATACTGAGATCTTTCAGAATTTTTGGCTTTTGAAGTCGTTTAATATAAATGAATCAATTTTGTTATTGAGTCAAAATGAAAAAAATCTTCTTGCCCAATTTATTAGTTGGGCTTTGGGCTTTATACGAGGGCTGGGCTTGGACTCAAGATCTAGGCCTGATGGTCAGTCTGGGCTTGGGCCTGAATATATTCTGTTAATATTAGGGGCAAAGCCCGACCCGTGAACAAGTCTAGTCATTATTTGTGGTAAAGCAGTGACACTAATTTTTGAAATAGATTATGTTGTGTCTGCCTGTGTTCAATTTTTCAAATGTGGGTCGAGCCATTTTTGCAACCAATTGTTATAGCTCCATATACTGTTTTTGTGAAAGACAATATTCATTTTTTGGGATTAGGCACTTGAACAAAGGGTTGAGACATTAGAACGTGAACTTGATGCTGCAATTACAGCTGCTGCTCATGCTAGGTCAGAAAAACGACAGGCTGAGGCTGCACAGAAAGCTGCTGAATTACATGCACAAGAGGTCACAAGGGAGATTGAGAACACCACAAGTATGATATTCTGAACTTTATCTCATGCCCATTAAGCCTGTTTCGTTTATCACTTCTATGTGGCTAGGAATGTTAATGCCTATGGGCAAGCAGCAAATTCATAAGAGTAAGCAGTACAGCATACTTCCATGAATAGAGAGAGATTCTTATGAAAGAAGGAAAGATGTAAATAAAAACAGAATTATAAGATCTGCATCTATTGGATATGATGCGGGTGCTTTGCACCTTTAGGTCTCTATATACATAACAATTTATGTATCCAACAAGATACAACATTTTTGTAAGGTATTTGGGTACCATACCTTTGAATATATCATGTTGAAATTGATTTTTGGAATGATATTTATCAGTCTGTATCGCACATTGAGACCATGACAGATAACCTTACAATGATATATTTGCCAGTCTACCATATATGCTTAGCAAGTTAGCATTTTTGTCATTGCAGAGGTATTCCAATTACACATGGAAGAGCTGCGTGCTAAGCAAGAGGAAATATACAAGAGAGAGAGTGACATTAAAGTTTTGGAAGCTATAATTCAGACCCTTGGTGGAAAAGGGTCATCTGCCTCAGAAAGTTAAGATCCATATGTACTCCATTCTTTTCTTTTCATTCACTTTTTTTTTTTTGCGTTTAGGTACATGATCTGATCAAGTATTGTTCATCTATACTAGTGTGCACAAGCTATATTACAAATAAAAAAAATGCTATTTTCAGTGATATTTGTGGCTTCTACATTACTGTCAAGAGTACGATTGCACCATGACTCCAAAGTTGATGCATGACAATTGTTGCCGGTCAGAATGGGCTGAGGGCAATATTGTCAATTTGCTTCCGAGCCGAGGGATGGCTGGGTAGTCCAAGGCTTGGAGTGGCCGAGGGCTGGTGGGCCGAGCCCTGCGAGGAGCAAAGGAGAGAGAACGTCAGAGGCCCTGGGTTGATACCTGAGGTAGAGACTCCGACGGTCAAATTAGTATATGTGCAACGCAAGGTGGCCGAGGCCCGAGGTGAGAACACTCAGACAAGGCCACAAAGGAAGTTAAGAGTTCTTAGGTCAAGATTCTAGATGCTTACATTGAGGGGTTTGCTCCCTATTTATACTTGAGGCTGCCTGGAGGTAGGTGGATTCGGACGGTCAGGATGTGGTCTGGCCCTGAGGGGCGTGATCATCCGAGGTCGCCGTGTGCGATTGCACCATTGGTCTTGGATTGCATGCTGACCTTTGTTCCACGCGTGCCCCTATTGGATCCGCTCTGGGCGTCGCCGCCAAACACGCACAAGCATGTTATTGGTCAGGGCCATGTGCACCTAGATCATTTGCCCCCCACTCTCGAGGCTATGGTGGAGGTTTGAGCTGAGGACCTTGGCTTTGGTAGAAGAGAGTGCATCGCCTATGTTGGGAGGCACCGTTGGGCCTTCTCGATGAGGGCTTTGGCCTCGGATGCCACATCTATAACTGAACCGAAATAGATGGGAACATAGAAGCCTTGGCAAATGGCAATGGGGTGTCGGATGCCACATGAACCAAAACCCTTTCACTTTTAAGCTGTGTTTGGTTTGATACAAAATAAGAGAGAAGCAAAAAGTTGAGAACTTTTAAGCTGTGTTTGTTTTGATACAAAATAAGAGAGAAGCAGAAAGTTGAGTGAAAGTTCTCAAGGATTTTAGATTTAGTGAAAGTCCTTGGATACTTTGTGTTTTCCTAGCAATTGAACATGTAATGTCACCATCTTTTCTTTTTCTTTTTCGTTAAAAGCAATGTGCCCATGTTGAAGAGAATCGTTTGGAGAAATTGGCAATAAATTCATTTTCTAAAATCCTGAAATGGTCCATTTTGGATAGCAAACTTGTGTTTAAAAGTGAAAAGGGAAAGCACAAGTACGTGAATAACTAGTATTTGCTCCATTGCCTGGATGCTGTGATTATCTATTTCAACCGGAGATGTGTGTAACCCAGTTTTTCTGAATGAAAGCATTTTGTCTCAGGCTGATGTTGGGCTTCATTTTTAGGCCCATGGAGTATAATAAAAAGTTTGACAAAAGGGAATAATCAAGAATGAGGTCCTGTTTGGTTTGTGGGAATAGAGGTCTGGAATCAGAATTAGGGGCCATTCCCGATTTCAACTGTTTGGTTGGGTGAAATTGGAATCCCGTCCCATTATTGAGAGTGGAATGACCATTCACTTCCTCTCCCTTGGGAATAAAAATTCCATTCCAGCTGATTTTAATTCCCATTGCTTAAAGAGCTCCTTTGACCAAAGTTCAAAATTTCGATACATATCAGGCCATATCAGTCGATATATATTGTATCAGAGGCTTCTTGATACGTCCCTACAGGAGTGTTTTGGGTTTAACCTAATTCAGAAGGTAGACAAGCCTTAAACTGACTCCTCTGAATCAAGTTAAAAAAAAAAACTAAAAAACTATACCCCTACAGGGCTAATACATCCCTATTGGGGTATTAGTCGTATCAATATTTTGAACCTTACCAATAAATTCTAATAAAAAGAATTAGATAAAAAACATACATCGTGTTACCTTATCATGCATTACCCATAGAGAGGGTCCAAAGATTTGGACTTAGGAGCTTGAGGCCCCGAGCATATTCCAATCTCGACCCACTGAATATGCTCATACTTCTGATGCCGAGTGGCTATACCCACCATCGGTTGGAAGGACCGCACTCGTATTATTCCATTACGATAATAAATTATTATTTTTAATTTGTTTTTATATATGATTAGACCAGTTTATGGGCCGGGCCCATTAGAATTTTGACAAAAGCTAAGCTCGAGCCCGGCCTATGAAATATGTGATTGAAGTGTATTGGCTTGTATTGGTACTATTTTTTATATTTATTTATTTTAAAACCTGAATCATGGCCCAATCCAATATATCCTTTGTAGGAGTATATCGGGAAGACCCTGATATAATACGTATCAATCTATATAAGTCGATACATAACGATACTTTGAACCTTGATTAGGATTGCAACTTGGTCGGACTCGGGTCGAGCATTTGATAAAAGTTTGAATGGGTTGGGCATGAAGGCTCAATGCCTTATGTATGCTGTGTAAGTTCGTGAAATCAGTACTAGACTTGCACCGGTGTTTGTGCCATTCCTCCAATTAATGTTTTGCATAACAAACGGATGAGGCCCAAATTCCATTCCTTAATTGTTCAAAAGTCATTTGCGTATGAGTGTTTCTCATCCTTCGATTTATATCTTGCAACAATTGTATATTTTTCATCCAGGCTAGGAAAATAAATTAAGAAAATGATTCGTTTTCTTCCGATTATTGTTTTTTTCTGTGCTTATTCAGGGAAGGGCAAACAATGAATCACACATTGATTATAGAGGACTAATTCATAGTGCAAACGTGGGAAATGCAAATCCGGCAACCTTTTATTATGCACCCAACAGCTAGAAACATAATTGGCCGTGTTTGGTTGCAGTGCAAATTTATTTGCATTAGTACAAATATATGGGATTAGAAATGTAAAAAAAATGCAAATTCTTGTTTAATTTTGTTTTGGATTTTGCTTTATCCTGTTTCGTGTTTTAATTTATTTTATTTGTACAGCAATCAAACAAAATAAAATAAAATTTGAAACAAAAAAAGGTCAGAATTTACACTCAAATCATTTGTACTGCCATGATTTTGCATTGCAACCAAACACAGCCTATAGTAATTCAGAGAATCCGGATTTGCTCCTTCCAGAGCATTCCTCACACCAACCTCATTACACTTGGAACTGCACATCTGAAACATCTCATACATGTAAGTTGTTATTTATGGAGATATGTTCCCAATGCACCATTGCAATGTGCTGTGAGTTTGGTGTGAAAAACACAACTTTCAGGGTGTTTGGAACTGTGGGCGTTTATTCAATAAACGCTGCCACATAGGTGCCACTTCAACAGTTTCCCTCTCATGCTCTTCCGTATGCATCGAGAATAAAAAAATAAGACTTTGGTTTCTGTGCACACTTACTGTTTGGGAAAATTATTTTTTAAAACTTCCTCAAACGATTAGGTATTTTTTCACTGTTATACTGATGTGGTGCCTAATTGTCATAAACGATTGTAATTGTTACCTTTCTCGATTTTGCAAGTAAATGAAGTATAAACATTGAATGAAAAAACGTAAACAGAACCAAAAACATAATTTGTGAAGAGCAAATCCATTTTCTATTTCAGAATCCCTTTAATTTGTCTACATGTGTATGCCCATTACCTAATTGAGAGACGGGGGGATTTGCTATTTGCCAAACAAGCCTTCCAACACAGAATGATGCAAAAGTGTTTATCTCCCCCGCAAATTTGCCCATAAACCTGCTGAATCCATAGGGAGGTACGGTGAAAGAAGTACAATGTTGAATCTAGCTAAGAGCCTAAGAGCTTTGCAATGGCACGTTCAATTAAAAGTGTGGATCAGGTAGGTGCATGCGTGCAACAGTTTGAAATCATAGTACTGAATGTGTGACTTTACTCAAAGATAAGATCACTAGGATCATGTGCATATCATCACTCCCATGATCATACATTCACATGTTCTGTCTTATAAAACACTAACCTTTTATTGTATCAGTAAACTGATAGTTCAACCACATGCCTTTCTTTTTTTTTCTCTTTCTTCTTCTTTTCTTCGTTTTGGTATTTGCACGGAAATATATATATATATATATCTTTATGGAATTCATCTAATGGCTGAATGTATGATGCCGGAAAGACATGATACTGGAAATTAAAGCATACAAAAACTCTATAAGCACGGACATCCATATATGCACATTAGTAATAACTCCACAAAAACTCTCCCGCACATATGTTCAGAGCTTTTCGTTTTTGGGAGATTTGGACTTATTATTTACCACTTTTGTGATAATAGTTGATTGGTTATAAGTTTTTCCAAATATCATAGTCAAACGGAAGCTGGGTTGTTTAAACCGAAGAACTTCATCCACATCAGGCTTGGGTTTTCAAAATTTAACAAGTTCAACTTAACTTGACCTAAGTTGCACCTCTAGACCCATTTGTAATACTGCCATTCTTAGTGATGGGTATGCTTACAGACTTCTAATGTCACCAAATAAACTGTCAGCCAGTCATTTGAAGAGCTATCCGCTTCATCTTCTTTCAAAGTTAGGTTAGTTTTGCATTGACAAATTTACCTTCTTACCAAACAGACTTTTAGCTGTAATAAATGCAAACATGAATTTCAATAAAGCGTATGTTTTTTTTTAATAAAAAATCCGCTTGAATGCAAATTTACTTTTTTTTTTTTTTATTGATGTACTTTTACATCTTATTATCAATATAAATATGCATTAATCTATCATTTATCAATACAAAAATGTAATATTACCAAACACAGGCAAAAGTGAATCAGAATACAAATTTACCCTGAACCGGGATTTACAATCTGTTTACATCATTTCCAAACGCAGCCTAAGCAGCTAATAACCAAACCACTCACTTTCCATCTCCCCAGCCCCAAGCTTAGAGACTCAAAAAAGATGAAGACATCAGATGGCACATAGAGCTTGCTTTCATTATTATTTTCTTTCACTTGATAATAAGCTTGTTTTCATTATTATAGTATAATCCTTCTCATTATTATAATACACATATAATTGGAAGGATAATCCTCTTTTCATTATTATAACATTACCCTTTTGTTTATCCAAAAAATGATGACTTACTCATATGGCATCCATAAGGGTTCCTGTGGAAGCCACCTTAAAGAAGAGCTTGTTTTAGCTACACTAGGTTAATTAGTTCGAGTTTGAACGGTCCGACTCACAGACCTCTTCCAATTAATATGTTTTATTAGTTTGGTTAGAACAAGTTGACACAAAATCAAGAAATATTAGTACTACATATATGTAGGCCATTTAATTTGATCACATGAAGGTTCATGGTATGGCAATTAATGTATCAGGTGCATGTTGTATGGTATGTAATAGTTTAACATCACATCAACCATATCAAGTAATCATACAATTCTCTTTTTCATACGGAGATGATAATAACAGGATTCAAAGGACAATTCATCCGGGTACGCCTCATTTATATGTATCAATTTAAGGGTCATCGATATGTTGAATTTGTAGGTTTAGATAGTAGTACTCATGAATGCATGGATGTCTGTTGAAAACTTGGCTGAATTGAATGGGTTATTAATATTGTTGTGAACTCCTTAATAGTTGAAATTGAACTTGGATTGAAATATTTTATCATATATCTTTAAATATTTGATCATCTACCAAAGAGGTGTGGTATAAATACATATATTGAGTTGGATGAATGGGAGAAAAAATGAATTCATTAAAATGAACATGGGAGCTTTATTACAAATTGAGGGGACCAGAAGAGCCGTGCATTGAGATAATAATAAATGATTTAAGGGTTCTAATTTAATTTAATAGATGTGACATTTAAAATAATGGAAGGTAATGTAGCTGACGCGGGACTTGAAAAGTAAGGCAATGAATCATTCACTTAACCACTTTAGTTGTTACTAAGTACCGATTAAAAGTGAATAAAGTAAAACAAAATGTATAGTTATTATTATTTTAAGGGAAAAATATCTTTTAAATGTAAAAATATATTAATGGAGTTTAATATCGATTGGTTTAAAGTTGTGAATCATTGTAATGTAAAAAGTGTGATTTATTGGTATAAATATTTATATTAATTTTATTAATATTGTATTTACATCGGTTATCGAAATTAAACTTTATCATGAGTGGAATTTTTTTTTTTTTTTTTTTTTATGTAAGACTGTATTAAGAGCACCTACGAAACGGATCAGACTGTTTAATTACATCAATCTGTACCGAAAACAAACGTAACCTTAACAATTCAATTGTTTGGATCAACGAATCAACCTCAAATGTCATTATTATAAAAAAAAAATTCAAAAATAAGAGACGGCTCAATGATTCAATTCAACTTTCAGATTAACAGATTAATGACCGAATCAACAATTTTTTGCAACATAGTGAGTTAGAGGTTGACCCAACCAAAATGGGACTGTGACGGACCATTGGTCCAACCAACCGGGTTGAAAATACAGTTTTTTTTGGGGGGGTAGATGCCAGATACCATGATCTAAAAAATCACCCTACATTGGACGGTCATGATTATTTTATCTTCACATCGTTGCATGTAATGCCATGTGTAACCCTATTTCTATGGTCATATACGTTTGTTTGTTCAAAGAAAGGGTGCGACAACAAGAATATAATATACATCTCACAGGTCAAAATCAAACCATGCATACACCTACACCATGGGAGCCCTTATTGACCACATGTGATTAATCAACAGTCCACGTCATCTATAAATATATCACCGAAAAAAGACAAAAAGGGAAACAAAAATCCACGTGGGAGTTGTTAGGGTCAAACAATGACACGTGGGAACTGTTTTCGCTTATTGGTTAGCCAAATCAGCTGTCTTTTCTACTTCATTTTCGCAGCCGCAGGTGATTCAAGAGAAGGTCATTTTGGTAATAAATCGATAAGATGAAGGTCATTTTCATCAAACTGCATGATTCGCAGTCTATAAAGTTGAGTTGCGGGTTGCGTCCGGGTCCTCGTTAATTGCTTTGTTTTCGGCCTAAGAAAGAACGAAAGAAAAGAAAAAAGACACAGGGGAAGTTTCACCTGAACTTACTAGTCTGCAACTCTGCATTCTTTGTTCTCTGCAACTGCTAAGGCCCTGATATCGTTCACCTTTTGCTTTTCTCTTTCTCATGCAAAAGAAATGGGTAACCTATTCACCTGTTTCTCTCACAAGGAAGTGAAGAAGAAAGCGTCCAAGCGTTTCTCCAATCCTCCTCCCCTTACAGCCTCGAGCAAACGGTTTTCCAGAATTCGATCCTCCAAGAAAGAGAAGCTTGAAGATTCTCTGATTCAAGAGCAAGCTATCGCCGCGGCTTTGTTGTTTCAGCATCACCAGCAGAACGGTACGCTGCCATTTGATCGGTCCATTTCTTTGAAATATCCTGTTCCGGGTTCGAGAAAGCAGTCTTTGCCTAGGAGCTCCAGTTCTAGGGCTCGTTCCCTCACGGATCCGCTTCTTAAGCCTCATGAACTCGTTAATCAGGTATTGTCTTGGTGTATTCAATTCAGAAATTTCAAAATTTGTGATCTTTTAATTGAAGCGAGGATTTTCGATTCTGCTGTTTTGTTTGTTTTTTTGATCGAATTTAAACGATTTAAGACTTTAATTTGCTTTATTTACACGCAACCTAATAGTTAGCTCTATTGCATGGATGATGTAAACCCGATAAGATCATGAAGCACTTCCGACTATCTATGAGCTGGTTTTGCTCCTTGGTTAGTTGTATTCTAATTGTGGTCTCTGTTTTATCTTCTGCCTTCTCTCTCTCTCTCTCTCTCTCTCTCGGTCTCCGAATTTGTTTATGCGTTGATGTCATGACTTTGCTAATGAAGAGGGAGAGAGAATAATAGCTGGGGAATCGACCCCGGAACGAGACTAATAATGGAGTCATCTGAGTATGACTGTATGAATTGTCTGCTTTATTATAGCTTTTACGGAAAAATTGTGTCTAAACAATGTTAAATATTTTATTTAGTATTTCTGCAACTTCGGTGAACTATGCTGAAGTTGACATTTGAGGGTTACCTTGAACCATCAGAGAGCCTGCAAAGTGCTAGCTGAATTCTTGATATTATTGAAAGTCGTTCTATCCTCCACTTTGGATGTATATTTTGAGCCTATTTTAAGTTTTTGGCTGGATAGAATGACATTATTTGTAATTTTTTTTACTTGATAATTCTTCCTGTACTTGGAATACCTTGTAAAAATTGAAACATGTTTAACGCTTCCAAGTTTTAACTAGAAATGGAAAAATGGTGAAAAGTTTAATAGTATCGAAATTTTATACCTCTTCGGACTTGTTATCTTGGTAACAGAGTCTGTCTTCTCCTTCAATTCACTCCAGTATGTTAAGCATTTCTACCATTTCAGCATCTCTTATATTGTAAAAAGCTTCTACTGGTTATTAGTCTTGGGTTCAGATATCATGATCTCACTGCATTTAGAGTTTTTACAGCCTGGTAGTTGCAATGAGGTCTTGATGGTAAAGTATTGTATTCAGATGTAAATAAACTCATGTACAACCAGGATCTGTACACAGGGACTATACAAAAGCTGCCCCTGCAGCAAACCCTATTTTACAAAAAGATTTTCATGTACTAAAAAGTAATTATATCCTATATTTGTAAGAAGTTTGTTTATAGCTAGCCATGAATGCATCTTTCCCATAATCTTCTGAAGAAAGATAACAATTTCATTAAACAAAAGGGGGGGGGGATGTAAATGAGATGGTGTACAAAGTCGTTGACAACTTAACTTTTGAAATACTCATTATTAAGAAGGCCAATCTTAGAGATACATATTTCAAAGTGATATTTTGAACCTATTATCCTTCATTCACTGTATTTATTTGATTGGTCATTTAGCTATGATACTGCCTGTTGTTTTACTTTCTTTTTATCTCTTTGGATTTGAAAATTTGGAACTTGTTATTTATGTGTTATTATTGTGTGCCAATTTGATATTTCCAATCTGCATAAAGAATTGAATACAAGTTTCTTATGGCCACCATACCCAAAAGAAGTGTTAATATCTCAAGCATCTTTTTTTTTCCATTGTTTATTTTCTTTTATTTCTAACAGTTTCTTTTAGCTGTTTTACAGGATCTAAAGATTGATGATCTAGAGACCAAGCATTTTGTTCTTGTTCATGGAGGTGGTTTTGGCGCTTGGTGTTGGTATAAAACCATAGCACTTTTAGAAGAGGGTGGATTCAGAATTGATGCTATAGACTTAACTGGATCTGGAATACATTCATTTGATACAAACAATATAACAAGTCTTTCCCAATACGTAAAACCCCTTACTAGTTTTCTTGAAAAGCTTGAAGATGGAGAGAAGGTTAGTTTCTTTCTTTCTTCTGTTGAAAATTCCTAACTGAAGTTCATTAGCAGTCTCTTTTGCAAAAGAATGATGTTAAATTGAAAATTAATTCACAACTTTAAACTGTGATGAGAACGGGTTTCCATGCTTAATCAAATAACTTCTCATCATTCTTCACATGTTCATCATGAATCTTTTTTCTGGAGTTTGGGTTATACTTATGAAAAAAATCTTGATTAATACTCTTAATTTAGAAGCATTGTACGTATGCACACTTAATCCCCCCCAAAATTTTTAGTATGTAGTTGACCATGCAATATGTACAGTTCTTGCAATTTTCATATACATATGTATATGTTTTCATTTGTTTCATTCTTGTCTATGATGTCTCTAAACAGTCATCTGAGTAAATACATGCATGTTTAGTTCATATAGGATTTTCTTATACAGCCACTCTTTGGTAATTATGACAGCTAATCCTAGAGAAGGAAGCAAATGAAAACTCGATTTAAGCTGATTATAAAGCAATTGAATGTATACTCTTTTATAATCCTCCTCCTATTGAATTTGTAGTCATAACTTGAGGTTGTTGTCAGTGCCACCTCTCCTACAGAACCATAGTTAGGGGTTCTCATACTAAGCTCCCTCATGATCTTTCTTTAGTTACTGGTTTCACTGTGGAAGTTGGATAGTGGTCTTCCATGCTTACTATCTTTGTTTGACAGGAAATAAAAAGATAATATCAACAAGATAAAGAGCAAAGGGGAGAATGCACAAGGAAATAACTCTTCTGGAAGATGTGACAAATGACCCCAAAAGAAGAAGGAAAAAGTGCAATGAACATTATGCACAAACTCCAATCAGTGAAACAAATTACCCTGATTAGCCATTTTTTCCAAAAAAAAAATAATAAAATTCACCTAGGTATTTCCAGTTATAGGAATCTAATCAAATGAGGTGTTTGAATTGGAAGGTAATATGTTGACCTTCATGAGGATGTAAAGGATTGTTTCTGGGTTCTTGATGGAATTTGTATTATACTATATTTGTCCCGTCCCATGACACGATTTGAATTGTGTTCAATCTTTGCCTTGTCAATGACCAAGTGAATGCGTTTGGTCCTTGCCAGCAGGGAAGAGAAGACTTTTTGCCCTTGGAATCTTCTAAAGCACTCCAATAGCAGAGAGCCCCCAGCTTCCTCATCAAATAACCATCAAAAGTTAAAACTTTATGTCCCATTTCCTGGGGCTTGCATGGCAAAAGTCTAGATCTCTGAAACATATCATCTGTGTCCATAGTGCTCTAGCTATATCATTCTGTCTCCTTAGTGTTCTAGCTTTATCCTTCAATGCCCCATTCTGTTCTGTAGGACAAGCAAATGATTTCTTGGGCACTGGTGCCTTTTCTAAGTTCAATCTTTTCTTTATTATTAAGGGGAACAAGTACTGATGTTGTTTAATCAAATGGGCTTTTAGGATACCACTGATCCTCTTCTCTTAGATTAAGAGGATGAGATAAGTTACTAGTAATAGTACATGTCAAATTGGTAGTTTCATTCAAGTAATAATATATGTACACAACAAACAGATCATGTATGCGTTGTTTATCTTGGATTTGTGGCGGAATATATTGTTCTGCTCTAGATCATCCTATTTGATTACTGCTAAAGTAACAGCAAGCCAGTAGCTATACTAGAATTTGTTGCTTAATATTAGGACAAATAGAGATTTTTAGTAAACTTGTTCTTGATTTAAAAGTTGCAATCAATTGAAAGTATATTTTTCTATAAATGTTTATGCAGGTGATTTTGGTAGGGCACGATTTTGGTGGTGCATGCATATCATATGCAATGGAGCTGTTTCCATTTAAGGTTGCAAAGGCTGTATTTGTTGCTGCAGCCATGTTAACTAATGGACAAAGTTTTCTTGATATGTTCTCCAAACAGGTTTTTCCCCACATTCTTTAATCTCTGACATTTGATGGAGGCATTACTGCAGTAATTGGTTTTTGGAAATATGCAGCCATGATCTGTTGAAAGTTGCAGTGTTGGATAACCTTTAAAGATGATCTCTCTCTCTCTTTCTCTCTCTCATCTACCGCCCTCTGAGTATAATGAAATTGAAATAACGTGGTAGAAAGACTAATTGCTGTTTGCCTGTTTCTGATGTGAGGTAGAGAGCCACCACAATAGGAAGGTATCAACCCTTGGGTATCTGATGAGATCTGGCATTTTCCTGATGTTAAAAGTTACTTTTAGTCTGTTCATATGATAGAGTTGTCATGGAACTATCCTGAAAGGGAAGTCATAAATTGACGCCTCTGGAGCATGGCCCCTTTAGGTTCCTTCTTGAGACCTTTGATTATCACTGTTCTGGCACCATGTCTTGCAACTTGAAACATTTAACCTGAAAACTAAAGTCAATTTATAATAGGTTTTTCAGGAATAGACTGCCTTATTTGGTATATCATCTAGGGATTCTCTTAATATCCTATGTTGATTTTTGAGGTTTCTGACATTACAATTCTTGCTTGCGGATTCTATCAGACATTGCCAGATGGTTGGTTATGATTATACCTTTAACATCTCTATCATTTACTATTGTAATTTTAAACTACATATCCAAACTTGCATACATACATAAATGCAAGCTTGGAGAAACTCAAAACATCCTTTTCTTCTTATGTTAGACTTAATGAGGGATATAAAGGTTTTTAGTATACCAGTTACTTTTGTCACCTGAAATGATGGGTATCTAATGGCGAGGAGGCCTGGTAATGCTGAGATCATGACTTCAGGGGTGATCAGTGACATTCCAGAAACCCAAGGGCAATAGTGAAATTGTCACAATCCTTGGGGGTTTCTGCAAATTTTCCATTATTTTATGTTCCGTGTTCTCCAAGTCTTCCTGGTTCTTATATCCTTCTACCCTTAAATGTTGAGATCATGCAAATGCTAGTTCATATGAGGACATAGAATTAGTTTTATATTAATTATATAGAGCCCTTTCTTGGGCAATTTAACAACATAAAATTAGTGCATGTGATGAGAAGATCTTTGGGCATGCATGCAATTTAATGAACTAGTAACTTTGGCGATTCATCCACTTATCGTTTTTAATTGTTTTCCTTTAACTTTGAAATATTTTCAACACTGTTAGCTCTTATTTGTTGTGATCAACCTTTTTTTCCCTCAATAATGATAAACTCTCGAAGCTATTACAGGCAGATTCAAATGATTTAATGCGATCAGCTCAGATATTTCTATATGCAAATGGAAATGACCGCCCCCCAACAGCTATTGATCTTGACAAAGCTTTATTGAGAGAATTGCTATTCAATCAAAGTCCATCTAAGGTATGGAGTTAATAACCATATGATATCACGTAAGCTTTGAATTGCTATAGCATCTTCAGTATTTTCATCACACCAGAACAATATTGTTGATTATCAAAATAGGGGTAAAAGTGTAGGCAACCCTGAATGGTGTTGGTTCACTGTGTTGCTACAATTCATAGTTGTGCCGATATTCTGTCAATTGTAGCATGGTATTCATATCAATGTCACTCTTTCACAAACACTTGGGTATTGCCAGGGAGCATATTCAAGGGTTAAGTTGGAAGAGGAGTTTTGAGTCTCCCTAGTTGCATCCCTACTGCAGAAACAACTCTCTCTCTCTCTCTCTCTCACTCACTCACACACACACACAGTGTACATGCATGTGTGCACAGACATGGACACACTCGTGGAGGTGTTAAAGGTTAGATGACAAATCATTATCATCCAAACCTTTCCCAACCATACAGGGTCAGCTCGACTACATGAATCCTGTTTCTCCATTCCTTTATAAAGTGCCATTTCCATTGTTGAATTATGAGCCCTTAAATCATTTCTTAGTACTTCAACCTATGTCCTTTTTGGTCTGCCCCTAGCTCTTCTAGACCGTTCAGCTTGCAACCGATCATTTCTTCTAGCCCCATGGCAAAATATGAACTATAAAGTGCATTTTAAATGCATCATATGATGTAACTTTGGTGAGTGTCATACAAGTTGTAGAGAACATGTAACTGATAGATTTGGGCTGTGTTATATACTGAGTTAAATAGGTGTGATGTGTTTCAAATCACTAGGCCCCACTGTGGAGTGGTTGAAACCACATGTTTTAGAAACACTCACATCCCGTGTGGGATTCTGCATGTTTTGATGTGGTGTCAGAATGTTCGGATTTAAGATGTGGTTTTTTGGGTGAACGTACTGAATCAATGCTAAACAAAAGCTAGAAAAGTGTGGTATGGTTGGGAAAATGAAAAAAAAAAAAGTGTCCAAAAGCCTGCTATACTTTGAGTTCTGGAAGGACTGATTCTTCATTCCAGAACAAGAAAATGGCTTAAAAGAATGCCCAGACGTTGCGGTGTTTTTGGGACCAACTGAGACACAAGATTAACACTTGTACTGATCACCACTTTGGTGCACATGGTGCACATGGTTACTTCTTTAGATGCAAAAAGAAAGTGAAAGTCACTGCAAAAAGAAGAAAAGAGAAAGGTGTAGGTTCTTGTAATCATTGTCAATTAGAAAAGGTGTTAAAGTTGATACAATTTCTATAATGGGTCCCAAGTTGAAGAATGAAGACCGAAAAGTGCAGTATGATACGATTTCTTTGTTTTTCACCGGTAATAGGTTTATATGCAAATTTGCTGAACAGATTAGTTCAATGCGAAATTGCTTGGAATGTCCAATTAAAGGCAAATTTTCTTTACTTTTCTCTTTTTTCTTTTCATTGTGTTTTTCCCAAGGAGTGTCAATGGACCGGTTTTGGGTTGGACCCATCCAAATTGATTTTGATTTGGACGGATTGGACGGACCAATAAGACATATTGAACAAGGCAAAAATCAAATGCATAATAGCCATATGATTATGTTATTTTCTTTGCTTGAGTAAATTTCATCTTATATGTGTGTGAATTTATTTTTTTGGTTTACCTTACATCTAATTCATTGTTATCTTTCAATCCAGGACGTTGCTTTGGCCACAGTTTCAATGAGGCCGATCCCCTTTGCGCCTGTTCTAGAGAAGGTCGGTTTGTCTGACAAGAACTATGGCTCTGTGAGGCGGTTTTACATAGAGACTCCTGAAGACAACGCAATAACCCCATCTCTACAGGAGAGTATGATAAATTCAAACCCACCAGAACGGGTCTTCCGACTAAAAGGCTCCGATCACTCACCTTTTTTCTCAAAGCCTCAAGCCCTGCACAAGCTACTACTGGAGATATCAAAGATTCCCTCAACTTGAGTACATTAGCTAGCTGGATGATGAATAGGTAGATGAAGGGCATTTTTCCCCTTTACACTTTGAGCATGATAAATTGATTACACTGATGAGTTTCAAAGTTTACATATTTTCATCTGTACGAGTCTGACAAGCGTTCATACACATCATTATTATTATTATTATTATTTTTTTGGCATTTTTTGAATTGTGTAGAGAGATGTTTTGTTGTTCAGCATCTATAAATATGCTCTTGGCCTAGTGTATTCTCGATTCTGATTTTGAGATGTCCATGGCATCTTCTGTCAATGAAACAAAAATTTCAGACTGTTAGCTTAGTCCATACGTTTGACTGCAAGCACTGGATGTTTCATGTGCTGAATATATTCGCGTTCGTACATAAAGATTGTGCCCACTGAAAAAAAATATTGTTGGCTTCTGGCTTCTTCAATCAGCATTGCAGTAGACTTGCTTACGCCATGCATGTATTACTAGATACCTCAAGTTTGTTTCTATTCATTGCTAAACGCATCCAGTCTTTTGAAGTTTGATCTCTCACATAAGATGTTTTCCCTTTCCCGAGCTATGTAAAAGTTATTAACTCGGTTAACATTTTGGCTTCATTACCCCAGTTTATCAAGGAAGAGTCGCTGTGTCATGGTTAATTTCAAAAATACTCCTCCTAAAACCTATGGATTCGCATTCTTCTGGTCTGCTTTGAGCCTGATTTGCACTTTTTCGGGAGCATCATATTCCTAGCCATGATGGTCACTAAACAGTCGCCCCAGAAGGGGCCCACAATCAGTAATTTTGGCATAAAATGTCATTGGTGGTGATTTCAATGACGGGATAAACAATGCCTAGTAGTATCTGAAGTTTCCTCCTCACTCCCAAGGAGCCAAGCGATCAATTTTGATCATTATTGGATTGATTGATGCTTAATCATATTCTCTTTTGAGCCTTTGAAGTGGTTCGATAGTCACTCACATCACCTTCCATCATGGATACATGTAAAAGCAGTAATAACTAATGAGAGTGGAATTGGCATCTCTTATTTTGAATTTTTCTTACTAGAGCAGGCGTTAGGATGAAGTAGAAGCAGTTGAAGATACATTGGCTTTCCGGTGACGGTGAGAAATTGTTCTAATGGACTGCCCGTGCCATGTAACGGACCCTAACACTTATGACCCCCCAATTCGTATTCCATATTTATTAGCTTTTGACCCCTAACAAAATGTCCTAGCATCAAACCATAACTCGATAGGGTCGGCTAAGTGCAGATTTACCACTTAGCCCAACCCACTGACATGACATCCCTAGAATGGAAAGAAGGGTTTTGGTTTGGTTTGGTTTGGTTTGCAAGCATTTGATCATTGTAATATAGATCAGTAGAGAGAGTAGAGAGTTTGATGTGGATATCTTTACCATATAATGCCGATTCTTGCCTTGGGCTTCACATCTAGTCCACCATATGCCAAAAACTTAATTCATTTATTTTCTTCTCTCTCCCTGTTTGCTTTCTCCTCTTTTTCATCTCTCTCTCATCTTTCACATCAAAACTCAGAAGGACCTGTCTATGTTCCAGCCGAGAACCTGGTATGGCCAGGCCATTGGGGGCCTTGCATGCATGCAGCACTGTCCTCTACTGCCCCAGAGTCGCCTTCAGTCAATGAGATGGCCAATCAGCATCGATCACTCTCAAGTCGAGGCAGCATATTGACCCATCTAAACAGTAGGCTCTCGTTTGTATGGCCAGTGGGCCTCTTACACACCCTTCATTGTCTCCCACCCAGAGTCCTTTAGACCTGCTAACTACAGATGTCCTGAACAGCATAGTGTCCCCATAGGGGCCAAGGCTGTACTATAGAACCTTTTTTTTTTCCTTCCTTCCTCTTAATGTTTATACATTGTAGGTGACAGTTACAAAGTTTATTGGTCCCTTCCTCTTCTCTTTATTTATGCTGATAAGTTGGTAAAGCAGAGGTGCAGAATCAAACCCATTTGCAGGCTTTCCCTGCTCAGGCACTCAGGCAGTGTCCATATTGACAACTCCGAGTTCGCAGCTCACTTTCATGTGGGCCAAAGTGGCATTACAGAACAAAAAAACAATAAACAAAACGAATTTATATTCCTTTAATACAATTGGGGCTCAGTTTGGGAAGAGTATACAAATAGGGGTGTCGATTGGACTGGATTTGGTCCAATCCAATCCAGTCCAATATGAGTCCATTATAAATGGACCAGGACCAATCCAATCCAATGAATGTTTTGGACCAGTCCAATTCAATGTCTGGACCGTCCAATCTGTTCAAATTCATTTTGATTTAGATTGGTTTCAATCCAAACTCAGTTCATTGACACATATTCTTACCTTATATCAGTGGACCAGATATTGGCTTAATCCAATATAAATTTGTTATGGACGGACCAGGTCCAGTCCAATCTAATAAATATTTTGGACCGGATTGGTCCAATCCAATATGTCATGTTGGTCCATCCAATCTGTCTAAATTGATTTTAGACTGGGCAAAGGTCCAATCCAAAACCGATCCATTGACACCCTTAACTACAAATACAAATATGAACAGTGACCATGCATTTTGTATTTCTAAACCTTGTTTTTGCACGGTACATGTTTGTATTTCTACTCTTCCTAAATTGAGCCTGAAGGATAAATTTAGAGCCCATATCTTAAGGCCCATAGTTAATATATATTTAAAGAAAGGAAATTAAAAAAAAAAATAATGATATTTATACTTGTCTAATTGAGTTAAATATATCAGTTACACATCATATATCTTATAAGCCGAACCCATCCAAACTTTGCACAAGTTTATTTAGCCAAATGAACTGAAATTAGTAAAGTTTTGGCTAATTCAAATTCAGCTACCTCAGTTCTTTTACAGCTATATCCCCATTTTCCAAGCATATCATCAGCCGATGACATTTAGGCTATGTTTGGTTTGAAGGAAAAAATAGGGAAATGAAGGAAAAGGTAAGGAAACCTTTAGAAACTTTGTATAGATTTTCCTACCTTTCCTTTCATTTTCCTGCATTTTCCTTCAAACCAAACACAGCCTTAATTCCCTTTAAATACCAATATACAACTAACCTGGGTATTCCACAAAAGCATCCACTCTCTAAGAACCACTTTCATTGAAAAGAGTGGATTCGGGTTTTCCAACAGAATATGTAGACTAAAATGTCCTCTTTTGTGTATGAATATTACTACTTTTTCATACAAGTTTGATGTCAGCATGAGAGCTAGATGAAGAGAAATTACTATGCAGAAATTGAAAAGACTATATGTAAAAATTGTGTGATTTAAAAAGGAATGATGCATGTTTTGATACTGTTTCAGGTTGAATACGACATTTTCACCAAAATCCTAATTTTTAACATTTTCATGCATTCAAAAAACAGAACATATCTTATAATCCTTAACAATACATTGCGATATTTTGAACCTTTCTTATTTATTGATCCTAATAGAATATCAATGGTTCCTTACTTCATCACCTCCTTTTCTTTCAGGGTGGTCCTTGTTTGGTGGCTAAGGGTTACCCTTATTGGATTTGGTGGTCAAAACAACATGAATGATTTTTTTGTGTTATCGATCAATAGGCCAATGGAATATGTCAAGTCAAACACTGTAACATTTAAGACAGTAACATCCCACCACACTTCTGTAACCGGTGTCTCGGTGGCTTCAATCTGGGCAGCTCTCAATCCAGTGGAAGGTATTTCTCGCTATGAGGATTTTAGGTAAGGTTCAAAGTATCGATACAGGCTGATATGATAACCTGTATTGGTGTTTTTTTTATATGTTTCATTTATTTTTTTTGAAATCAGTTCAGTGGGATCGGTTTAAGTCCTGATTACTCTCTGAACCATGGTCTGACCCGAAAATCCCAACACGATACGCATTGGCCGATACTTTGAATCTTGCTTCTAGATAACCCTTACCGTAATAGCCTTCATTCTACTCTAGGTAGCCCTTTCCATGATTCAAACTTGAGACGTGGTGGTAAGCTCTGACACCAAAAGTTGTATTCTTAAAGCCTTAAAATCAATGCAATAAGGCAACTCAAATATTTTGACATTAAAAACTGCATTTTTCATTCAAAATCAAAATTGAGATTAATTTATGTATTACAATGAGAAGGATACAACTATTGAGTGGTTAGCTGCTAATTCTTCTTCTAAAAATCTATATACTATACAATCATGATAGTTCAGTTAGAGACGTCTCGGCAAAGTTTTGTTTGGGATGGTGGATTTGGGGTGAACAATTCAAAAACGGGATGATTTATAAAAAAAGAAAAAGTTTGAACTTCACTTATCTTTTCTAATTAATCACTAAATTAAAGGAAGGAATTAGTAGATTTGAAGTGGGTGAATTTGACCATTTGAGTTGACTTCAAGTCCACAATGCGGGTGATCATTTTCGAGTTCCTCTATTGGAGAGTTAAATTTTGGACTTCCGCACTTATGCCACTATGTCAGGATAATTTTCAGTATTTTCAAAATATGTTTTTACACTTTTTTTTTTTCAAAATGACTTCGGTTTTAAAATTTTTTGAGATATTTTATGTTAGGATTAAAATATCAATACGGTACAAGGCGTATCATATCGGTATCGGGTCATACCATGGAATACGGAAGCATATCAAACCTCGTTTGACAACTTCAATATAAAATGGTTTGCGATTATGCTACTTGAACCCAAGACCACATCTCACCTAGCACCGAATAACAACCCATTTTTAGCCACTAAGACAACATTTTTAGACAATATTTCTTTCATGTCAATAATTGGAAAAAATTAACTTTTATTACTTAATATTTACATAAAATCTCAACAACCAACATATACTTATCTTCAACAACTCCAATTACAAATTAAAAAGAATAATATTTAAAATTAATATTTTATAAACCAATAGAATAAATAATCTATCAATCCACATTTGTATCAAAAAGTTGGTTTTTAATTTAAATAAATTTTAAAATATTAATAATAGAATAATTATTTTAATACTTAAAATTTACTAATTTGCACATGATATATATCTCAAAATTTTTTATAAATTATTAATTAATATTTTAATTTGCATTAAATAACCATATATTTATTATTTACAAAAATAAAAAAATATTATTTATAAAATATTTAAAAATATAATATAAATTGAACCTATCAAATCCACATTTATATTAAAAAAGTTATTTTTTATTTTAGAAATTTATAAAAATAAAAATATTAATAATGAAATAATTATTGTAGTAATTAAAATTTGTTAATCTTCATATAATATATATCTTTGAAATTT